TCAGTAATGAAGTCACTCCCGAGGTTCACCCTTCAGCCAAAGATTAGACGGCCCCATAAAACAAAACGAGACTAATGGGGCACAACAGCCCAGGGACAAGAAGGCAGGAGGGGACAGGAAAGCTGGTAATAGGGAACCCAAGTTCGAGAAGGGGGAGTGTTGACATGTCGTGAGGTTGTTAACCAGTGTCATAAGACAATATGCGTACTAACTGTTTAATGAGAAACTACTTGTTTTGTAAACCTTCATCTAAAGTACAATAAAAAGAAAATTAAAAATAAATAAAGATTAAAAAAAGGAGGAAAAAAAAAAGGTGCAGGTACCTTGAAAAACAGTGTGGCAATAATTCAAAAAGCTAAGCATAGTTACCATATGACCCAGCAATTCCACTCCAAAGTATATACCCAAAACCTTGTACACGAACATTCATAGCAGCATTATCCATAATAGCCAAAAAGTGGAAACACAACAAGTGTCCATCAGCTGACGAATGGATAAACAAAATGTGGTATATTCTTCTTCAATAAATGATATTGAGAAAACTGGATTTCCACACGCAGAAAAATGAAACAGGATTCATGCCTCACATCATACGCAAAAACAAATTCAAAATGGATTAAGGACATAAATGTGAAAACTAAAGCCATAAAACTCTTAGAAGAAAATGCAGTGCAATGCTGTCGGGCCTAGCTTTCAACAGTGGATTATCTAATATAATAACAAAAGCACAAATGGCAAAAGACAAAACACATAAATAGGACCTCATAAAAATTTTTTAAAAAATTGTACATCAAAAGACTTTATCAAAAAAGTGAAAAGACAAGCTACTGACTGTGTCTTTGGAAACCACATATCCGTTAAGAATCTAATAATCCAAATCTATATAATACTTCAACAACTGAACAACAAAAAGGCAAATAACCCAACCATACAATGGGCAAATCACATGAATAGATATTTCACCAAAGAGGACATTCAAATGGCCACCAAACACACAAAAAGATGCCCAATGACATTAGCCAACAGAAAGATGCTAATCAAAACCACAATGACATACAATTTCACTCCCACTGGGATGGCTAAAAGAAAATAACAAACGTTAGTGAGCATGTGGGGTAACTGGAACCCTTATCCATTGCTGATGGGAATGCAAAATGGTGTAGCTGTTATGGAAAATAGTGTGGCAGTTTCTCAAAAAACTAAAAACAGAACTACTTTATGATCCAACAATTCCACTTCTAGGTATATACCCAAAAGACTTGAAAGTAGAGACTCAAACAGAGACTTGTACACCAATGTTCATGCAGCACTATTCACAAAGGTGGAAACAACCTAAATACTCATCAACGGATGAATGGATAAACAAAATGTAGTACATACATCCAATGGAATACTACTTAGCCAGTAGGAGAAATGAAGTCTTGATACATGCTACAATATAGATGGAACTTGAAGACATTACGCTGAGTGAAATAAGTCAACCATAAAAGGACAAATATTGTATGGCCTCACATAGAAAGACAAGAATAGGCAAATGTATAGAGACCAAAGTTATTAGTGGTTACTGGGGCAGGAGGGAGAGGGAAGGGGGGAGGTTACTGCTTATGGAGCACTGAGTTTCAGTTTACGGTGATGGAAAAATCACAGTGATTAAGGTAAGATTGCACAGCCAATTAATGTAATTGCTGTCAATAAGTTGTACACCTATAAAAAGTTGAATTGGTAGAAGTCTAATAGCTATATTTACAATGACAAGAAAAAAAAGTAGCCACTGAGGCTGCTTATGTACAAGTAAACACCTCATGGGATTTGGTTCCTCGATTTGGAGGTCTAAGAGTCACGGTTTCATGGGACATACCAGTTAATTGGCCTAATAAGGTGTTTAGTGCTTCTGTTCTACCTCCTAGTTTGCTGTGTAGTACCTGGGGCCTTAAAAGCTTGCAAACAGCCATCCAAGCACAATAACTGGTCTCTATTCGCCTAGAGCAACAAAGGAATGAGAGTCAGGAATAAGAGAAAATGGAGTGTGTGGATAATTGCCTCCATGAACAACTGCCTCTTTTGCCATGAGACCAGAACTGGATGGTGCCTGGCTACCGTTACTGAGCATTTTGATCAATGATTCCATAGAGGAATCCTGACCAAAAGAGAGAAAATACAGAGCAGAATTTCAAATTCTCATGGACTCCAGACTTTCTGGAGCCATGGAGGCTGGATGAATCCCTGAAACTACTGCCTTGAGATAATCTTTAAATCTTAAACCAAAAATATCTCCTGAAGTCTTCTGAAAATCAAACAATACCCAGAACAACTAGATGGTGTCCAGTTACCACCACCAACTGCTCTGGCAGGGATCACAATAGAGGGTTCTGGACAGAGCAGGAGAAAAATATAGAACAAAATTCAAATTCACACACACACA